GTTTGTGCCTGTGTAGGCACGCGTCGTTGAAGTTTCGATCTGCTGCCAGGCCCGTCGGCAGTTGGACTTGCAGGTGTGCCCCAGCAGAGCAGCTTCGGGCATGATGTGAAGCTGAGCAGTATCCGTGACGATCGCTGGGATCTAGGAATCTAGGTGTACGGGATGAGTTCAACTTTGGCCGTGGAAGCGTGATGAGCCGCGCCAGTTTTGGGTAGGAGGGGTCTGCACTCCAAGTTCAGAACAATCAAGTCTGGTTCGCCCGCTGCCTTCGGAAGTCCTGACACGTACGCAATTTCACTGCACTTGCCCGAGATGAGAAAGCACCCGAAGCGAAGAACTGTCCACCCGACACTCACATCGTAACATGATCCAGCTGCGATACCCGAACCTACAGCATGTAATCAGTGTTGTTATCGACATCACAACCCTGCGGTGACAGACGTTCAAGTTGTGACACGTGTGCGGCCTCCCGTGATCGCAACGACTCTCTCTCGCAATATGAAGGTCTTACAGGCGCATCGGGCACATGACGACTGTCCGGTTCAGGCCAGGCCGCCCTGCAGCTCCAGGGTGATCTGGATGTTTCGAGGAGCACCAGGGAAGGCTGATGGCCCTTTTCTCTGGGCTTGGGATTGAAGAGTGTAGCCTGACACGCCAGCCAGCAGCCCTGTCATACAACCATGGTAGGTAACGATGGGGTGGATGAAAGACCCGAAGCCGCAATCCCACCCTGTGGAAGATGGAGCCTGGACGCATCGGAAGGGCAGTCAGCCTCGCTCGGAGCCTCAGGGCGGAGGAGAAGGGGCCTGTGATTTTCCCGTAGGCGATTCGAAGCCCTCACTCTCGCGGACCACAGAATAAGTACCTTGCATGCTGCAGCCAGTGTGGCAGCCAAGGATTTGACTGAGAACCCGCCCCCGGCTCCAGAAGTGCGGAAGCGAGCGCTGGTCACCTTCAACGCCAGGGTACGCGGGGGCCTGGAGGTTTCAGTTTGATGGGTCGCGGCCAGATGGGGGCCTTTGAAGGAAAGCCCAAGACGTCATGAGCAAGTTCACAGGCAGTTGCGGTTGCTTTGCTTGCTGGATGGACACACGATTACAGCACCAGTCACTCAGTAGACTCCGTTCCCGGCTGGATAGGAGGCTGAAGATGCAAGTTTCGTAAGCCTGTTACGCAATTTCCTGCACCGTTTGGGGGTTGTTGCTTGCTTTTTGTGGATTTTGCGAGTCTTACTGGGCACCCTTTGGTGACATCCCGTAACCATAACCCGAAGGCTGAAGTTCAAGAAATGAGTACAGCATCACATGAATCTGCACCTCCGTTACACAGCTGTGGTCGAAGGGAATCTCGTGGATATGCAAGTATAAGTAGGGGTTTCACATATACGTACATGTATATATATATACACATGTACATATACATATGTATACATGTATATACATAGCCCTTCAGACATCCATGCATCCATGCGCACATACATACGTAGGCACATATACAAACAAACATACATGCGTTCATGCATGCATACGACATACATGTATGCATGTATAGATCCATACATACATACATACATACCTATAGAAATACATGACTAAATACACACATACATACATCCATGCATGCATACATACATACATGCATTTGAACGTACATACATACATACATACATATATACATATATACATACATACATACATACATACATACATACATACATATACAGGTGTATACACAGACGTGTGCATGCGGCAATGCATACATGCATAGTTGCATACATACATACATTCATACACAGATAGGCGTGTGCATATATGTCTACGTGAGTTTATGTATTGCATGTGTAGCTGTGTGTATGCACATATGCATGATACGATGTTGAAGACACCTACATGTAGGCCAGTGAACCGAGTGATTATGCAGACTGATGCACTTCTGATTCTGTGAATAGGTACGTACATGCAAGCAACACCTGGACAAGTCATAGATGAAAGCGAACATGCACCCGAACAATGAAAATCTTTCAAGTGAAGCATAGGTAGAAACCGGCTGTGTGCGTGAGCTTTTCTCTGACAAATCATTGCCTTTAGGGTTATTCTTTTGTGCTTGATGCAGTCCTGCACGTAGATAGATCCAGGGAAATATGCTGGTAGCGGGAAAGCTGTTTTTGACACTGGATGGCAGGTGAAGGGTGGTCAGTGCTGCGACAGCGCCACGCAGACAGCTCCAGCCATCACGCTGTCGAAGATGTATGGAGGCCCCACCACAAGCTCCAAAGCTCGAGCCAAGGGCACACGTGCATAGGCACATCGATGCACGTAAGAAAAACAGAAAAGCATTCTGACCCAGTTTCAATGTCTTACGTGCGTTCTTGCATCGCTGTAGTTGAGGCATCGTGCCTCGCTACATCCAGCTGCTAGGCTGCAGATCAGATAGCGGGGAGGTGCAAGAAAGACATGGGAGAAGTGGAATGTTTAAGCTGAAATTTGTGCTTGTCTTTTGGACTACTTAACTGTGGCCCCCGAAGAGGGTGGCTTGATTCTGACAGAAGAGATGACATGCACATCGCTCTTGACCCGCTGCACTCTGGGAGACTCCTTCGTCTTTGAGCCGCAAAGCCGCAGAGCCTTCTCAAAGAGAGGCGGGAGCTCGCTCGACTTCGCCAGGCGCCGGTCACCCATGCATGCAGCTTGTTGTGACGACTTGTGGCTTTCAGGGGCCTGTTTTGTCGTCCGTTGTTGTTGCCCTAGGGCCCGGGCCGAGGCTGTTTAGTCAGAAGTTGCGCACACTGGTCTCTGTCGCTGCTGAAGTCATTGCCTTTGATAGGTTGTTAGCCCATTATACCTCTTGAGTCTTGAGTCTTATCTTGGTCCCTGAGCTTGTCAGGAAAATCAGCTGCTCCGTTATCGAATTGCCTCTGTGGAGTGAGCCTCAGATCTTGCCATGTCTGCCAGAACCAGACTGCCAGATAGACGATGTCCCGCGTCCTCTCTGGTGTAGGTTTAACGATCTCCAAATCGTAAGGCGGCGTCTCCTGGAGGTCACAGGAGCTTGAGCAAGATTGTGTCGGCAACTTGCTGCAGTCCAGGACCGTCGTCACAACCTAGTCGAGCTGTCCAAGACCATGCAACCGAGCCTACAGCCACGGATTCCGTGCCCGAGCCGAGACACACCCAGAGCTTCCCGAGGCCATGTCTCAGCCGCTCCAAAGGAGCCGCTCCGTTCGTCATCAGGCGCTTTGGTTTCTCTCCCATTGGGGCTGATCTTCGGGGTTCGGTCCGACCTGCCCCGTTCCTTTCTGTATCTGCACGTATATGCATGCACACATACTTACGCATGAGGAGCTGCATGTGCATACGTCTACACATGCTCACACGTACACATATAATGACATGTTATACATCATACATCCGTCCATGTATTCATCCGTCTATCCATACATCCATGCATGCATGCATGTATGTCTGCATACATGCACACAGACATGTGTACATACTTGCACTCAAGCAAACATACAAGTAGTTACACACTCACAAACACACAAACACACAGGCACACAAGCACACAAGCACAAAAACACAACCAAGCCCTCTCAACCACAAAACTCAAAACCACACAAACACAAACACAAACACACACACACACAAACACTCATACACTCCAACATTCAAGCACTACACATACAGTCACGAACGTGCACAGACAATGTACACATCTCTGTCTATCTATCTGTATATATATATATATATATATATATATGTATTTGTATATTTGTACATATCTATCTATACGCATGCATGGACATACGCACATACACATACAGAGACACTTGTATCTATCCGCCGATCTATCGATCCATCGATCGGTGCCTATCCATCCATCTGCCTTATCTGTTTTAGAACTGTCTGCATTTGTTTGATCGTTGATAGCTCGCAGGCAACGCAAACAGCTCCGGCCCTGACCTTCTCGACTGGCAGAGGTTGCGGCTTAGGGCCTGTAAAGGTACCCCTACAGTAAGGTCTTTTCTTAAGGGTATATTATTACGGGTTCCCTTAAGGGGGTGTTGGGACTTGAGGATTTGGGGTTTAAGGTTTCAAGCTGCGGTTGAGGGATCCAGCGTTCCGGGCCCGATGCCTGCGAGCTGCAGCTGAAGCCGATATTCGATATCCCTGATCCGCGCGGGAGAACTCCGAGGAAGTACAGTATCCTGTCTTTTAGACCCTGAATCAGGAGACCGTGGAGCCTCTGAAGCCTTTGCCTTCTGGAGCCTGGCAGTCCCCCCAAACTTGCATCTACCGGCAAGCCCGGTCTTCGTAATGGCTTAGGCATCAGTTCGTACATGTATACTTACCCCTAAGGAGAATGTACACATGTATGTACGTACGTATATAATTCATGTCATTCCGTCTGTTCTCGTCCTTCGATGCGCCCAGCGATGCCGGAGCACTCGCAGGCCACGGTGGACCCGCGATGCCGGCCGTCATGCTCCTGGCTTTTGCGGATGGACTAACTGAGAACCTTTCGGAGGTTTCCGGGCTTTTTTCTTAGAGCTTTGCCTTTAGATCCTTGGATGTCTTTTTACGAGGTTTCGGGGAGATCGGGGATTCTCCCAAGTGTCCTGAGCCACGGAGTCAGAGATTCGGTGGCCCTGTTTTGCCTACGATGAGTTGGATAGACCCTACATTACTAACCCTTTAAAGGAACCCTTCTCTAATTCTTAAGGCCCCTGCAGTAGACGATTTCAGAGGAGCCCTAAACCCTAAACCCTACGCTCACAACCTTAGCTTCGGCTTCGAAACGCCCGAGACGGCCGTAAGCTCCAGGGGACGAGTTCCTCAAAACACGGCTGCTCGAAGAAGCCATGATGAAAGCAAGCCAGAGATATGTAAATATTCTGTACATGCCCTAGGACTTAGGACTGGAGGGCTCGTAAGATGTGTGTATAAGTCTCGAAGAAATCGTGAGTTCCGATTATATGCTGTGGACTGCTAGGCGAAGCAGAGATGGCACTGGACAGGAAGTGGATGTGGGAGGAGATGTTGGCGATGCTGCACCCCTTCACGATCGCTGTAGCTAGCCTGGCCAGCCGTCAGATTCGCTCCATGTGTGTTTCTCCAAGCGGTCTTCTTATTGTGCCATACATTATCGTCTTCTGCGATGATTTCGACGGTCCTGGAACTACAGACCAAATGCTCCGTGCGTTGCCAGCCATTGACAAAGGAGAAGTGGTTGAGATAGAGATCTGCGACGGCAGGGAGCTTGCAAATCCGGTCGAGAAGCGGGACCGTTTCAGCTTGTGCCTGGGATGGCTTTTGGGCCCTTTCAACAAGCTGCGTGCTGTTTCAATAGACGTTGAATACGGGCTTGGCGACCAAAGCCTTTGGGTGACCATGCTCCTGAATCTGAAACGCCATTGTCCCAAGCTTGAACACCTCAGCATGTACAGCTATCCACAGGAGGTCATCAAGGCATTGCCCTCTTTCCAAAGCTTAACAAGCCTGCACATGGCCATTCAGAGCACCCCGCATGCTCCAGCGACGTCGATGTTGGAAAGATTGGCCGACTGTTCATCGTCCTTGCCAGCATTGGACACTCTGTTGCTGGAGGTGGCCCCAGGAACAGAAGAGTGTCTGTCCTCGCTGCAGAGATGCTTGGATGCGTTTCCTCTTTGCTATGCACGTATTATCGAAATTGTTCATGATCCTCAGGCTCAGGAAGCTGGGACACTCCCAGGCACACTCTCGCATGTTAAATGGCCGCCGAAGTGCCGCACCGTCTCCTTGTCAAGCTTGTTTTCCGGGGAGAACTTGTGTACATTGGCTGAGCAAATCTGCTTGGGCACTGTCACCTGCCTCTATTTAACCACTGGGCCTCTGACAACTGCTGCGCATGCGAAAAAGTTTCTGGCAGCCCTCGAAGGTTCCCAGCTGAAAGGCTTTGGTTGGGAGTTTCCTGACCAGACTGTTTCACACGAGGTGCTCAAAGTGATCGGGGACAGTGCATGCAGCCTCGTCCAGCACCTCAAGTCTTTGCGGGTTCTGGAGATCGGCAGCATATCTGGAACGTTTGAACCACCGGATTTGCCAGCCCTTGCTGAACAGCATCGGGTGCATTGGCGACGCCCCGATTCTCGGAGGTGGTGACTCTTGCTGGCAAATCGGCGAAACGCGTGCCATGTATGGCCTGGAAGTTGGGCGAAGGGGCATTGGCAACTAGAGTTTGGGCACTTTGCAGATAGCCGTAACTGCCGTAACTTCCTTCCAAAAGTCTTGAGCCAACTGGAACAAACGGCGTGACCTGAGCTCCAGGAGCCACCAGGACAAAGGGCTGTGAGGGTTTGAACCTGGGAGCCCCAGCTGCAGAAATCACAGTTTGGACGCCCCTGGAAGGGAAGCTTTGAGCCTGCAAGAGGGGGGGGGGGTTTAGTATAGATTGGGCAAGAGGGTCCACATCAAAGCTCCCTTGCATGCAAAAGCCTCACCTATCGGAACATGTGCCACTGGGGGTAAACGGGAGTCTGAGAGCCGAAGGTCGGAATGACCCGTGTGCCACGGTCGATGGTTTCGCAGGCCAGCTGGCTTTTGATTTCGAGCCGGTAATGTGCTTGAAGTCGAGAGCAGCTCAGAGAGGTCGAGGTTCCGCCTTTGCACGCCGTGGACCACCTCGGTTTCATGCAAGTGGTTGGCATGTTGAAGCACGCGGCATCCTGCGGAAGCAGCTAGAAACTAGAAACTGCTTCTCCGTGCCTAAACCCCGATGACACAAACTCACAACAAGGTGGTCTTCATAAAGTTATTCATGGACGAAGGAAGATATGTAATTCCGCCAGGTTGTGCCGCCGTCGCCTGTGCCTTCTCCACATGCCTTCGAGGTACGGGACTCATGATTTCCATGGGGAAACTCATCTTAGAGTCCTATAGAGGCTCCTGGGCAATGCCGATTGCACAGGATCGCAACAAATCTAGGTTTTTTGTGGTTTCAGACCTTCTTGTGTCTGTGTGTATTGAAGTCCCGAGCTCCGCATGCAAGAGTGTGCGATGCGGGCTACAAGGGTGTAGGTGTGGATGAAACTGCCCAGATGTTCTGCCGGGACTGCCGAAAGCGGCGGCGATGTCCTCGTCGGGCGTTGGGCATGGGCACTGCTGTGTGCCTAAGACGTAGGCAGAGCAACCAACCCTGAGGGACAACCGATCGACCCTTACTTCCGATCCCTTCATCCTTCCCATCACCGCAACTGAGATGGCCCCTGCGAGTCATGGCAGGCAAACCTGCTCCCGCCGATGCTGGCCCAAGACGTGCTGGAGGTGCCTTCGGCCTTCTGTTGTAAAAAACATAGTACAGTATCATGGGCTGTCTGGAGAGTCTTAGATGTCGGGCGCGCGAGCGCTTGCGAGTATTTGCACCAGCTTCACCGAGCAACTTCGATTCATTGATCTTCGATGGCACTCGCAAGTTTGCCCAAACGAGTCTACAACACACCCAAAAACAGCTGCAGCCTCTGGCTGTTAATGTCAATACATCATCCACCTTGCATGTTCACCTAAATCCAAGGCTTTCAACCTTTAACGGAAGCCCCCAAACTTCAATACCACAGGCCTTAAATCGTCAGATCCTTGGCATGGAAGGCCTCCATCTTGGCCTTTGTGCGTGGCGTGGAGCTGCAGACTGAAAGTCAGGCTAGAAACGAGTGTTGGAGTTTCGCGGTCGGGTTAATGGTTCAACGTTTAGGGGCTTGGAGTTTGAAAGTTAAGTAGGCTCTTGGAAGGGAGTTGTACATCGCTGGGGTGAGCCCTTAGATGTTTTGTGGGGCCCCAGGGCTTGTACAAGGCTTGATGCAGGTGATGGCTTGCGGTTCAGTGTAACCTTTAACACCGAACAAAATTCGAGACCGTGCATGAGTGTTGGTGGCTTCTTCCGCAGCCGGGTTCGTACATGATATACCGAAGTTTAATTCAAGTACAAGATGTCCAGACCGAGCTAAACCTTCTTCTGCTCATCCCCGGCGACGGCATACTTCTGGTGAGGCCGCCTATCGCAGGGCCGTGATCGCCAACTGCAAGCGCATCGCCCGGACCTTGCAGCGAGACGCATGCAAGGAAGTCTCGCAAGGAGAAGCAGTCTTGCTGATTGTGCTAAATGGAATTTGGGAATGAGGACAGCCACAAATAGCTACTAGTACAGTCTTAGTGATACCTCATACAGTGAGTCAAGGAAGCCGCCTCTCATTGATGTGAGCGTTACAGACTCGCCAAAGCATGTGAGATTTCCCGGATGCTCTTCGGCTCGACCTTTGCATCCTCGACGGGGCAAACCTCAAAAACCCTACTTGGAGGTTCACGGGTAGTTATAAGTAGGGCAAAAAATAGGGTAACTATACTTATGACCCATATTAGGGGACTTATCAGCCCCACTTATAACTACCCATGAACCTCAAACCCTAGCCGTGAACCCGAAGGAGCCGAAGCCCAGGCTCTGAGTTCTCAACCCCCAAACTCTCCGCCCAGCTTTTGATGTAAACGAAAGCCGAGGCACAGAGCTTGTGGCCACGATGTCTGGTGGAGTTGCGCCTTTGGCAGAAAGGGGAGGGTTGTCCAGGTGGCTGTTAATTGGGCGGTGAGGAAGTGAGGGGTTATGGTTTTGGGATTCATAGCGGAAGTCGGGATCAGATATGTCATGATGGAAACGCGAAAAAGCACGTCTGAGTCTTCTCTGCAATTCGTCATCAACAGCATCTCGAAGCCGACTGGCAAGCCGGGAAAATGGGAGAGGCTGCGACCTCTCATGCCTTTCTTGGTTGGGCTGGGATTGGGGTAGACTTGGAGCCGGTGGCGTTTGCACCGAGCGTCTGAAGATTTCCAGTCAACGGCCGATGCTACGAGTGCTTGGTCAGGAATAATGAGGGTGGGCTCTTATAAAGGGGTCTTGAGCTCCTTGTATTTCTAAGCCCTAGAGCCCTAAAGCCCTAGTCTTTGAAATTGTCATATCTTCCTTGCAGCGTCTCTGCAATCAATCCTGAAGCCAAGGTACGGCTCCTATGCCTCCGGTTTAGGCCTGCGCAGCAGCAACCTCGACCTTCTCATCAAGGCGCCGACGACGCAGTTTCGGGTTGGGGCTTCGCCACATCCTTTTCCAATGCCAATCCCAGAAGCCATAGCCATAGCCTACTGTAGGGCATGGGGCTCTTACTTAGCAGTCCTCCGCACTTGGAGATCCCGTCGGCCTTTGCTCGGGAAGCTCCGGAGCGCTGCCAGTTGCAACCGAGCCGCTTCGGGCGCGACGAGGCAGATGCCGCCGAGGCTGGACTCCCCGGTGGGTTCTCACAGCTGTTGCCCTTTTGGGACACTTTCGAGGGTTTCCCCGGACAGGGACAGAACAGGAATTCAGAGACTTCGTTGCCGAGTCTTGGGTATCGACCTCCGTGACTTTATGATTGCATAGGCTTCTGAGTCGTGCAGACCTCTGAGACTTACATACTGGCCGGGTCCAAGTTGGTCTGTGGAGCTCCGATCCAGGGGAAGGCACAACTCCCGGGCTTTCCTTCAATTGTTACACACCCCACGATTTCGGCCCAGACAGGCATAGTCTTCCCTTGATCTTGGTGGGTTGCCCACGCCCTGGACTCCCTAAACTTGGGGTTTGGGGTTCGGTGCTCAGGCACTGCTTTCTCCCATCGACGAAGATGAGGAGCAGCTGCGGCAATTGAACTTGGAAGAGGTCTCGTAGCTTGGCTACACTGAGTGGTTGCACCGCAGTGGCTCAGAACGTTTCCTGGATCGGGTTGAGTCGGCTCTGCTTCCGCGACGATGGTTTATGAGTGCCCACTAGCAACATCTAAGAGACACGCAGACGCCTGGCTTCATCGGGGCTGTAAGCACGCCGCCTCTCTTCCTTTCTTTGTTGGCTCTGGAGGCCGGGACACTCGGGCCGCTCGGTGAAGGCGGGAACACGGGAAGGGCATGGAAGGGCCGAACCTGGATGGGCCACATGCTGCGAAGGCAATCTCCTCCTCAGCGTGGCAGCAACAGCTTTCGGACCGACTCGCCCGAGAGAAGTGGGCCTGGAGCCAAGAGCAGCCCAAGCATTGCCCTCCTCGTGTCGGAACACATCCCGAGCGACTTTGTCACATCGTTCCGAGGTGTTGAGCGACTCGATTCGCGTGGCGGCGCATGCAGCCATCCCGGTGAAAGCTTCAGTTATGTACAAACAGCCTTTGAACCCCAGCAATCCCGAAGCCCCAGGCCCCAGGCCTTCGACAGCTCAGCAGGTACTGTCCTTCGTGACTGCACCAGAAGCGGCCGGGGCGCCTATGACGCTTGACCGGCTGTCGGAATACGTGATTCCGTGAGAACGTGTGCTGATTCGCATTCTGGTTACAGTCGCAAAACAGTCGACATCTAAGGTCAAGAGGGTGTCCACAGAGAGTGAGGAGCTTTTGGCAGGCTCTTCGCTGCAAGGTTTTGGTTCATGAGTGCCATGAGAATTGCCTTCTCATTGCAATGCTGTTGCCACCTCTGCTGCTGCCACCCTGCCACCCCTCCTGCCTCCACTAGCAGTTGAATAATGCTGTGCTCATCGCCCAAGAGGGAGGTTGGTTGAGCAGTGTGATTGTTTCGTTGAGCCGCGGCATTGAGTCTTTGACAGTTTGCTGCTGTGATGCTGGGCTGTCGTCGACACTCACACATCGCTGTGCGCCATCGATGCGGAGGAGTCCAATTGTTGCTTCAGGTAAGGTTTGGGTGCTAGCACGGCTCAAGCGCAACAGGCACGCAGTACGAGATAGTGCGAGTTCCGCAAGAAGATTGGGCCCAATGCCGCTCATGCCCCACGAGGTCTACGATGGCTGCATGCCGACCGCAGAGACTTGTTGTGGTGAGTGCCAGGGCATCATGGCCAAGGTCGTACAAGGCTGTGTGCTAAAGTGCGCCATGAACGCAATCGAGCAAGTTGTATGCGGGGCCTGCACAACTTCCTCCCGTTATCAATTGGGGATTGCAGACTGCGAAGACTCGGAGACACTGGAATCCCTTGTTGCCTGTGACAGCATCAAAAAGGAGTTTGCTGACATCCGTCACTTGTCCCTTGAGGAAGCTGTAGCAGAAGCTACCCCAGCTGCCATCGACCTAATAAAGAAGGCTGCCTTCTTTTTGTTTGGTCTGTCCAAACAGGGCAAGTCCACTCTGGTCAACCTGTTGCTGCAAGAGATGGGGAACAACGAGAATCCGGCGCTTGTTGAATACATGGATCCCTGCACACGAAGTGTGGAGACTTACAAGCAGACGGTTGAGGCATGGACCACACCAGGCAGGGTTGTCGGAAAATAATCCGGCCCCCCCCCCGGCCATTTTCAATAAGTCTGTCTTTCCGTCATCTTCAGTGATCCGGAATGCGGTCATCTCCCAGGCGTTAAGGAGGAGGTGATCCTCTTCGACACGGAAGGCTGGGAGCTCGGACAACAGAAATCGGCAGAAGAGCTATTCGGGCAATGCCTCCACAATGGCCAAAGGGAGGGCATCGAGCCGGTGATTTTGCAGCAGCGGTTGGTTCTAGCACCTTGGCGGTACCCTCGTGCTTGTGTCTCTTGCGGTTGCTGTTTGCCCTGAACAACAGGAACCACTTTTGAGTAGGAGGTTCTCAAACAGCTGTGAAGGTTCTCGTCCTGAATGCAGAACGTCGAGGCGACATCAACGACCCCAAGTTCTTGGACTTGGTCGGGAAGGTGTGTAAAAAAGCTGCAGAAGTGGCCAAGGTTTCGGAAAACAGCTGCTGCCTTGGGCAAGCCAGCTGCAAGACCGGGCCAAGACCTGTGCTTCTTCCGGTCGTCTCAAAGAGCGATCTCTTCAAGCCGCCAGAGAAGTGCAAGGAAGTTTGCAAAGCGTTCACTGAGACCCTGAAGAAGAAAGTCGGCGGCCTGGTGGACGTGAAGGAAGCGAAGGGCGTGACCGAAGAACCGGATGCATCTGGCAGGAGGCTCGTTGCCAAAACCGAATGAGTCCACCCCAATTCTGTCCGTCTCTTGTGGGATGTATCGGAACATGCTTGATGCCATCCCACCGAACTTCACAGCATAAACGAAAGCACAAATTCTGGTCTCGAGCTTGTATTTCTTCGAGATGTGCAGAACGTCGAGCACTCCGTTTTGGAAACGACTTTGCTCAGGCCTTCGATACGTGAGCTGCAGCAGGCCTGCTTGCAGATCTCTATTTTCTTCTTCAGTGCTGGGGTTTGACCTTTTGAGCTTGTGGACGGGATGCTTGGTTTCGCGGTTTCACATGTAGATAGGATGTCGGTGGAGCTATCCACCAGAGCATCACTGTTGGAGAACCTAAATTGTGTTGGGACACTGTTGTGGGACCTCCCGTCTGCCACACATCCAGCATCAGGATGCCGATTTGGACTGTTCGGTTGGTGTCATTGAGATGGGGCATCAAGTCTACAGGATGTCTTGTGCTGACGGGCCAGGACCGTTTCAAGAGTTCAGGGCGAAAGCACCCGGGCCCCTCGACCGTGCGGCCAGAAACGGAGGTCTTGGCCGACATCTCCAAGGAGCAGCTCCAATCAGAGCAGCTTCTGGAGAAGGTGCGAAGTGCCTCAGTTCGATGTGAATAGGGCGGAGAGCAGCTTGCAGGAAGTAAAAGGTTCTTGAGCAGAACTCCGGAGCTCCGAGTGTTGGGCATGCCAGGTCAAGCAAATGATTGAGGACGACCTGCTGAAGTACCTGCGAGATTGGGATGGCAAAGGCAGCAGCTTAAGGATTTGCATCATTCATTGGGTTCAGCGATTTTTCACTGACTGGTGTTTGGGGCTTCACTTCGACCACCCCCTGCCCTGCAAGTCCGCAAGAACCTGAATGCCCCGAAGAATCCCACAGGATTGAATGCAACCTCCTCCTTGGTTCGGCGATTTCTGTGGGCCGTGGCGCGCCACCGCGGGTTGCGCATCAAGGACGCCGCCTCATATATCTTCACACGTCTTGATGGCTCGGTTCGGGTTCAGGGCAGAACAGCTTTTGGTGAGTTACGAGGTTGCCGGTTGCCTGGTATCTGAGTCCAGCGCATATCCAGGGTTGTCTTGACGAAGGACCTTCACGGCAAGAGCCCGAGGATGAACTGGGAACAAGCCGAGAAGGTGGCTTGAATATCTTTGCAGTCCTGTGCTTCAGTTGCCCAAAATCATACAATCTAAGCAGACCCCGTTGCAAGCGGAGGGCGGTGCTTGTTTCTCTGCGGTTAATTTGCCCTAGGTAATGGCACACATCAGGGCCGCGGGCACTTCCAGGAATATCTCGGAGAAGGGCCAGGATGATTGGCACACAGATCCTCTTCGTATCGCGGAGCAGAGCATCGTGGAGCAGAAAACGCCAAGCACACGGGAACCCTCGTCCGAATCCTTGCCGGAAAGCACCAGTGGATAAACAGCCGGAGAATGCTATGAGTTTATAAATCTATAGGTACTATAGCTCTTGTCAGCTCTCTTTTGTTCAGTTTTGGGAGCTGTACTTCCAGCGGCGCACTTCTCGAGTGAGGCGTTAGTGCAGGTCTGAAGTGGCTACATGTGTTTGCACTCATGCTTGGTCACTTTATGTTATGCCTCATTCAGAGAAGTGAGGTGGCGCTTGCGACGGAAACCATTTGCCAGGATGCACATCTTCCCCACAAAAGGGCACGCACACAATGCCTAAAGCGGTTATGTGTGGGGATGTTGGCACAACGCTTTGAGTCCACCCGTAGGTAGCTTGTGCACTCAACTCATACTAAACTCCCCTTCCTTCTATTTGTTGCCATCTCGTACAGCTAGAAGGGACGGTGGACAACGCCGGTGCTGCCACAAAGCCCAAGCCGAGGTCCCTTGTGCCCTTTTGTAGCATCATCCGTAGCCTTGTTGAGTTGGGGCTTGCACGAAGTCAAGCCCCGTTTACGAGACATCCGTGTCTGCGCAGTGTCTGCCAGCCGGAAGAAGCACCTGAGACCATGGGGAAAGTCAGAGACAGAGTTGATGACTGAAAGGCTTGGACCGTAGCCTCTAGACCTCTGAAACTGAGAGCGTCTTTTGGGCAGACTCAGTCACCAGACTTGCGATAGCTACAGCAGCCCTGTCCATCTAGTGTCTGTGGCCTTTGAAGCCTTGAAGCAAAAGCTCGATTCCACCCGTCATGGAGGCTCCACTCGTGTGGACATCTGCCTCCACGACTCGAGCCACCGCGGGCTCCGAAGCAAGGCGTCCGGTCTTCTCGGCTTCTTGTGGACATTCGCAGAAGCAAAGAGCTCCGGGGGTTAGGGGAATCCATGCATCCGGTCCTGCTGCAGGCGCTCATCAACTTTCTGCTCAACCGATATCCAATGGCCAGGCTCCTTGCGACTCCTGACGCTGGGTTCGGGTCGGGTAGACATGATCTCGGGAGCAGCCGGTTTTGCATGGAGGGCTCGCAGATTGCAGGTAGTAGGTTGCCTCTGGCACGGGGAGCAAATCCTAAAGCAGAATTTGTCCGCCGAACGACAGTGTTCAAAGCTGGCGAGGTTTTATGGAACGCAGTCATCCAGTTTGCAGTCCGCCGAAGCATCACCTACGGCGAAGCATCGCGCGCCTTCAGTCGAACATGTGGCTCTTCGAAGCGCAAGCTGTATGGCACAGAGTGCATTCCCACAGTCTGGCTTGCCAGTGGCAGGCCGGTAACGCTGGTGCTCAAGCAGTGGCTCATCGCCTGTGCCCGAGATTGGATGGGAAGATCCACAATCCTGTGATTTGGGACCGAGTACAGCAACGAAGGTGGGAACTACGAAGTTTGAAAAAACTAAGCCTTCAAACTCCACGGTTGAGCTTGATCTTCAAAATTGCATGATCCCCACATGGCCGTTTCCTCTAGCAAGCCCTCGTGCATACGAGGAGTGTGACGATAAGCTTGCTAAGTCGGGCTTCCTCCGAGACAGGGATAGGCTTCCTCCGGACTTCCCTGCTAGAGCACAGCATGGGAGCGGACGTATGTGTATGCGGGTGTCTCTGCGTGTGTTCGGGTGTCGAGGATTCCACAGCCTCGAGTGAGAGACAATCACAAAGTCGTTGAACAATCTGCATCTTTGTGACACTCGCCGTGTTCTTTTTCTAGCATGCAGCGCCTCATCGTACATCTGGGCTGGCGTGAGTCACCGCACAAGCCTGTCTGGAGCCTAAGACGCTAAACCCGAATAACCTTCATCCTGCATGCTCCTGAGGAACAGGCGTACTCTATGTCGCACAGCGGCGGGCTTTGCTCCTACGGCCTCCTACTGCCTGCAGCTCGGAGTCTCTGGAGGCTGTACGTAGAATTCAGGGACCACAGGTTTGCCGTCGTGACAAGTGAATAGACAATTCTGTGCGAGTTTGTCTTGTGTGCATCATGAATGAACGTTGATGGGTGACGGAGATTTTTCGCACCGAAGAGTGGAAGTCTCTGGGTCGCATCTCAGACCTGCGACGGCGTCGTTGCTACTCTACGGGTACTCGCTGGCGAAATGTTTGTGACTGGCCGTGTAGACGAGCGGCTTCTTCTTGAGCGGCTTTGAGCACCCAAAGCAGCTATACTACAAGTATGGTGTGCCGTGGAGGACTAGGCGTTACTGCGAGATGCCATGGCACGCTAGAACATGCAATAATATGCCAGAATTCACCATAATATGCTAGACTGCACCGTTTTCTACCGTCCCATAGTATGCGACCCTATAGTCTCTTTAGGTAGCTATTTTCTGTCCCGAGGATGGTGGTCGCATTGCTGCAGCACTTTCCAGCCACCAGCCTTGCAGCGGTCTGGAGCCCGGTTTATGACTTTTTGTGTGTCGGCTTGTGGGGTTCGGGGTTTAGGGTTTGAGTGTTTAGGGTTTGGCGTTTCAGAGTCGAGGGGTTGCAGGGTTTGGCATCTGCACGGTTTTTTGAGAGAGCAGGTAAACCACTTGAACCGGGCCCACACGTTTGCCAGGATCATCACGGCTTTGGAGCTCAAAGTGATTTGTGGCTCTACCTTGTCCAGCATCCAGCATGGCGAGAAATCAAGAAGTTGTGGCAACTTCATGCTTTAAACAGTCTTTCGGTGCTGGACAACAGTTATCAGTTATCAGTCATCAATCATCAGCCAATGAGTGGTCCCATTCTTTTCTTGTGTAGCTTTGTCAGCTTGTCGTTAAAGCTTCTCCCTTCTTCATTCCACCTCTGCCCCTCGGCTTCCTCCGAAACAGTCCAGGCTCAAACCCTTAGTCTCCTTTCTCCTGGGCCATATATGCCTCTTTTCAGCACTCCAACGTGGCATAAAGTCAATCCCATCTCCGTTGCAGCTGCGGGCCCCCATCGCCGAACAATTCCCGAACACTCACGGCCTGAAACCTTGAAAGCACTGAACTGTGTAGCGAAGCCGTTCGCAGCAGGCCTTGGTTGGCTTTCTCAACTTCTACGGCCGGCGCTTTGACCCACAGTCGGTCAGCTCAGCTGCCAGACTGACAGTACCGGAAAGGAGGGTTGGATAGCATGTTGCTGTATCGACATCAGGATGAGCGAACAACTCTCAATGCTTGCCGTCTAGAACGCAGATACTAGCCCTGCAGGGGCTCAGTGCAACACACAGAGTCGCAGAGTCGAAGACCAGTGAAGTCAAGCCCTAAATCTGGCCACTTGTTAACGGATTTTTTTTAAATCCGTCCGTGTTTCGGCGCCGCCCGGCCGGTGCTCCACAACGGGATACAGGCCCGGCTCAAGCGGGTGTCTGTGGAGGAGAGGGGCCGAACATCATGTGCATCCGCGGGTCTCTGCGGCGCGGCAAGGGCCGAGCATCATGCGCATCAGCGGGTCCTTGGGGGGCTGGAAATCGAGTCCAACCCAAGTCCAACGAAATTTAATTTCGTTGGACTTGCTTGAACCTTGCGGCAATGTTCGCTCTAGGGGCAAAAACAAAGCGAAACAACGAGAGCGAGAGGCAGCGAGACAGAGGGAGAGTCCCAGTGCATGCTTGTTGATGTGATGAGGTCCCAGAAAGATCCTGAGCGACATGTGTTTTGGATTTTGTATTCAATCAAGACTTAAACTATCATGTGGCAGACAGCACTGGAAACAGTTCGGTGACTTTTTTTGATTCCTAGACTCTAAACATGACATGGAACTTTGACCTCATTGAAATATTTTGTTTTCAAGCCAAGGATTTGTTTCTTTGTCGTCAGAGACCAAAACTTGAATTATCGTGCGGCAACAGTTTCTCGATCAGACACCTTTTCAATACATTGTACTTAGCAACATCACACCGCGCAGACAAATCAACTCATTTGCCACTTGCTTGTTCTTAGTTTCCGTATGTGGTCCTACACCTGCACACATGCACATGCATGCCATGTAGAAATAAAAGGCCATGACGTAAAGATCACACATTACTAGTATAGTGTTGCATCCTGAGTGTTCGAGTAACTGGTCGTGTCTTAGCGATATTATAAATAGTTGGGACCTCGTAACTACTGTCAAGTTACGTAGTTGTAGACTCCGGATCCCCATAAGCCCTAAAGCCTGTAATGCCCTTCTAGCCTTAAGGCCCCTACATCCCGAACCCCGTGTCTTTTCAGGGCCCTGCAGGCAAGCTCGGGAACAAGGTCGCGGAGCTAATGTGCCGTGACGGCGCAGACGACGACGAATGCGCCGTGAGGGCGCAGACGACGAGACGCGACGACCAAAATGCGCCGTGATGGCGCAGGAGAAGTTTGAGCAAGAGCAGGCGTGTTAGAACCCGAAAGAGGTGAACTATATGCCTGCCGAAAGGCAAAGTCAAATGTGCCGTGATGGCGCAGACGACGACGAATGTGTGCCGTGAGGGCGCAGATCAAACAATTGGGAGAAGCTTGAGTAAGAGCATCGTGCGTTAGGACCCGAAAGATGTGCCGTGATGGCGCAGGAGCGAGTCGATGTGCCGTGATGGCGCAGATCGAATATCGATGTGCCGTGATGGCGCGCATCAAACAATTGGGAGAAGTTTGAGTAAGAGCAGCAGCGTGCGAGGACCCGAAAGATGTGCCGTGATGGCGCAGACGACACAGACGACGAGTGCGCCGTGATCGACGGTGCAGAAGACGACGACAGCCGACGACGCAAGATTGTAGGAGTCCAGATTAGGAGCCTAGCAAGATCGTTCTGAAGTTGCCTGCAGGCCGCAGACGCCCAACAGCATGACTTTTCAGGGCGTCGCTATATAGTCGCCGGCAAGTCAGAAGCTTCTAAGCAACGTGTCGTCTAATTGGAAGCATGCAACCAGCTCCATTGTTTCGACTTAGCCGGGCGAGAATCCTTGGGACCAGGGGAAAGCCGCATCAGTGAAACATGACAGGCAGGGGTTTGCATTCAATTGTTTTATTCCTGGGTTACGCCACCGAGACAGCTGCGCAATCAAGTGCTTAATGGCAGGAGATCTTCTCATCCTCCTCGTTCGAATTGCTTGGGCCCTGAAGCGAAAGCCATGCTCAGGGTTCCTTGGTCTAGCTGGAACACCGGGGTAACCATCATCGATGACAGATATGTTAAGAATGCAGACTGCGCCTAAAACCCTGAAGCCTCACCCCCAAAAACCCCAAGCCAATGAACCTTGAACCCTCGACCCCCAGAAGCCTCAACCCCTGCACGGACGGGGGCTTCAGTGGTTCATTGAAGGGCTGCGTGAACGGGCCTAAACCCTAAACCGCTTCCTCGGAGCTTCGGATTGTCTTAGACATACCCGGTGCCACCGGGGCCGTGAACCCAACGCCAGGATGCAAGGCGAGGCGACCGAGGCACTGTATTCGCGAGGCCGCCGGTTTGTGTTTGGGTTTAGGGTTTCAGGGGTTCTAGGGCTCTAGGGGTTTAAGGGTTTAGGGTTGAGGGTTTTAGGGGACTAGGGCTCTAAGGGGTCTAAAGGTTTCGGGTTGAGGGTTTCAGGAGTTTTAGGGCTTGTTTAAGGGTTTATGGTTCAAGGTTTCAGGGGTTCTAGGGCTCTAGGGGTTTAAGGGTTTATGGTTGAGGGTTTCAGGGGTTCTAGGGCTCTAGGGGTTTAAGGGTTTTCGGGTTGAGGGTTTCAGGGGTTCTAGGGCTCTAGGGGTTTAAGGGTTTAGGGTTGAAAGAGAGCTCGAACCCGGATGTGATAAGGCCTATTGGGCAGCTTTGTCGGCGGTTTTTCATGTGGAGATTTCGAGAAGTCGTGGGTTGAACTTATTATCGAAAAATCTAAATCCTTAAACCTAGAAGCCCTATAGATCCCTTTACTTGCTTCTGACCCGATCGTCTGGGCAGCCCCGGGCATGGCAAAAGCGGCGGCTCCGCAGGATGGTGCCTCACCCCTCGGGTTCTTGACAGTCAAAAAGCGCGGATCGCGAATCGGCCTTGGACATGGGCGTGCTACAAGAGAGTCGTTGCTTTGCAAGGCAATTGGGCAGAAGCTGAGCATGGAGTCAGGGTAATGTTTTGTCTAGCAAGCACAATGACCAGAGCTGAAGCACTCTCAGGTCTTGCCACGGACAAAGAAAAAATCCAGAGAGCCGAAATTAAATCCGCCTGCGGCTGCATGGTCTTGAGACGGGGTCCTCGCCGAGGACATTTTCTCAGCAGCCCTTCCGGGTAAGGAAGGCTGAGACCCAGGGTACCGGGACCCCTGTTCCTAAAGCTGAGAGGATAGCCCTTGCTCTCAGCTTTCGGAAACCAGGGTGCAGGACCCTGCCTCTCAGCCCTCCTTACCCGTAAGGGCTGCTGAGACAACTACCGGCCGTAGACTTCGAACTCGGGCTTATCTATCTCCGAACCCCGGTTCCAGGACCTCACCACTCAGCCCTCCTCTGAAACAACTCCCGGTCAAAAACTCTTCGCTCGAACTGATCTAACTCCCGATCTTGCGGTTCGCGAGGGCTGCAAGTGCTTGCAGCTGTGGCAAAAGAAAACATGATGCGCGCGCATCATGTTTTTTTTGTTACGTGCGATCTAGATTAAGAGTGCCTTGAGAAAGCCTCAACAAACAGCAGCGAGTGCTCCTCTGAAGCGCCTGAAGCTCGGCCCAGCCTGAGACGCTGAGGCAGCGGTGAAGACCAGAAGCGGGAGGAGCGCTTTAACGCTTTGGGCCCCTGGGTTCACCCATACTTAGAGGATCTAAGTAGCTTTGCATAATTCTAGATCTTGTGATTGACTCTGGTGAATACAATGTCTGGACTTAGGCCAGCAGCCGGATGTCAAGCAGCTGAAGTGGTCTAGCTACGGCCTGAGTCTTACCCTGCACGTGTTGTCCAGTCGAGATTAACGATTGAGGTATCCTTGAAGCTCCAGGTCTTCATGAATGGTCAATCTTTCTACGTCGGGTCTCCGGCTCAGCTTCATTATCCAGTGCGACCCTCCCGAGCTCCCTTGCACATGAGGACCTCCGACTCTTCCGTTCTGAGTCCGAGGCTGATTGTCCGCTCAGACCTGGAGTGAAAGTGTTTATTCACAGCTTGTCGTAGAGGCTGCTATACGCGCTCTATAAACGTTCTCTAGTGCAGAAAGAAAAGGTCTTCCAGACAGAGCTGGCTATCTAAGCAAGCCCACTTGCCACTCCGAATTCTGATGATGCAGCAGCAACAGAGGGCTGGATACTGACAAGGTTGCATTCTGGGTGCAGTAAGTTTGAAACAGCTGTGCTAGGGTTCATCAGGGACGGAGTGCAGAAAGCTTGGCTGCCCGGTGCCCACAGACGTGCAGCGTTCCGGCTTGCAGTACCCAGCCTCTGCGATGAAAAAAACAAGCGCTTGTCCTTTGCAGGAGTTAGGTCTCGATAACAGTTTTGCGTGCGCCCAGAGACAGATTTGCAGCATGGGAAGATCCTGCGATCACTCCTCCAAACCTCAAAAGCATCCTCGTCCGGACTCGTCCGAGATCCAAAATCCCGACAGCCATGCATCGCTCAGTCTTGCGTGCGGTGAACCTTTCAATCCACCAGCTCTGATGCAAAACTCTGAGTTGATGGCTCTCGTTGAGGCGATGTTGCCCCACTGCAACGGCGAAGATGAGCCGCGCACCAAGAGAGAGAGAGAGAGTGCGAGAGAGCGACAAAAAGATGAGAGAGGGAGGGAGGGAGAGGGAGAGAGAGAGAGAGAAGGCCTTGTTTGCGTCGTCCTGTGTCGTCGGCTTTGATCGTCTGCACCATCACGGCGCACTCGTCGTCTGCTGTAGTCGTCTGCACCATCACGGCACACTCCTAGTCCTAGTCTCATGTTGCGTCGTCTGCGCCATCTCGGCACAACACTCGATCATGCGCCATCACGGCACAAACTTCCGCTCTTCGCAGGCATAGTTCACTTCTTTCAGGTCCTAACACGATGCTCTTACTCAAACTTCTCCCAATTGTTTGATGTGCGCCATCACGGCACATCGATTCGATCTGCGCCGTCACGGCGCACTCCTCCTCGGCATCTGCGCCATCACGGCACATCTTTCGGGTCCTAACACGCGATGCTCTTACTCAAACTTCTCCCACAATTGTTTGATCTGCGCCATCACGGCGCATCGACTCAAACTGCGCCGTCACGGCACATTTGACTTTGCCTTTTGGCAGGCATAGTTCACCTCTTTCGGGCTCTAACAGGACTGCTCTTACTCAAACTTCTCCTGCGCCATCACGGCGCATTTTGGTCGTCGCGTCTCGTCGTCTGCGCCCTCACGGCGCATTAGCTCCGCGACCTTGTTCCCGAGCTTGCCTGCAGGGCCCTGAAAAGACACGGGGTTCGGGATGTAGGGGCCTTAAGGCTAGAAGGGCATTACAGGCTTTAGGGCTTATGGGGATCCGGAGTCTACAACTACGTAACTTGAAAGTAGTTACGAAGTCCCAACTATTTATAATATCGCTAAGACACGACCAGTTACTCGAACACTCAGGATGCAACGCTATACTAGTAATGTGTGGTCTTTAAGTCATGGCCCTTTATTTCTACATGGCATGCATGTGCATGTGTGCAGGTGTAGGACCACATACGGAAACTAAGAACAAGCAAGTGGCAAATGAGTTGATTTGTCTGCGCGATGTGATGTTGCTAAGTACAATGTATTGAAAAGGTGTCTGATCGAGAAACTGTTGCCGCACGATAATTCAAGTTTTGGTCTCTGACGACAAAGAAACAATTCCTTGGCTTGAAAACAAAATATTTCAATGAGGTCAAAGTTCCATGTCATGTTTAGAGTCTAGGAATCAAAAAAAGTCACCGAACTGTTTCCAGTGCTGTCTGCCACATGATAGTTTAAGTCTTGATTGAAAACAAAATCCAAAACACATGTCGCTCAGGATCTTTCTAGGACCTCATCACATCAACAAGCATGCACTGGGACTCTCCCTCTGTCTCGCTGCCTCTCGCTCTCGTTGTTTCGCTTTGTTTTTGCCCCCAGAGCGAACATTGCCGCAAGGTTCAAGCAAGTCCAACGAAATTAAATTTCGTTGGACTTGGGTTGGACTCGATTTCCAGCCCCCCAAGGACCCGCTGATGCGCATGATGCTCGGCCCTTGCCGCCCGCAGAGACCCGCTGATGCACATGATGCTCGGCCGTGCCGTCCCTAGAGACCGGCTGATGCGCATGATGCTCGGCCCCTCTCCTCCACAGACACCCGCTTGAGCCGGGCCTGTATCCCGTTGTGGAGCACAGGGACTGCGAGAGCCGGGCGGCGCCGAAACACGGACGGATTTTAAAAAAATCCGGAAACAAGTGGCCAGAAATCGCAAGGGATACCGGCCGAAACGTGCACGCACAGGCTCTATGGTGTCAGCGTTGCCCGTGCCGCGTTTCTCAAGAGGACCCCCGCCTCTTGAGGGGAATTGAGACTTGCAAGCCTTTGATGAGGCAAGGCTTGAATTAGGTCAATTAGGTGTGGACTTCGACATGCACTGCGAAATAAGCAGACTACAACCTTCGAGTCTGGAGACAGACACATCGCACCTCCAATCCCGCGGTAAGTTTGAGACACAGAGCTCTCCTCCCTCGCAGGAAGAGTCCCACGACGTGGCCGCCAGAACAGGCTCGGGTCTCGGGTTGTGCATCCACAGGAATCCGGCCCGTCCGGTGGAGGGCCTGGCTTCAGGCAGTGACTCTTCTTGCTCCTGGCAGGCCGAGTTGGTGGAGCGTGGCCTACTACACCCCACTAGTGCGCCTGCAGGCAGGCACCAAGAATCTGTGGGGTTAGTGCATCGGGCTTGGGTATCTGCGGATCCATGTAAGGGGTGGAGCGACGGGGGGAGTCTCACCCTGCCTCGCCAAGAGCCAGAACCAGAGGTCTTGGTGGTCCGTGAGGCTTTCTACTTTCTACACCCTGCGCGTGCCTTTGTCCTGCCAAGGCAAAGAGATTTGCGGTGAGGAAGCGCACAGGTTTGATCCGCTATGGGCGAGCGCCTCATTCGGAGCCTGGAGTCAGTTCGGGTTGCTGGGTGGAAGTCGCCGAGTGGTCCAGCCCATGCACTTGCCGCCAGTGAAGTGGGCTAGCTCAAGACAGCCATCGGTCAGTACGAGTGCGTGTATTGATACAACTCACGAACGTTGCTCGAGTTCCTGGGACTGTTTGGGTCATGTGTTCTTTGCCAACCACCGGCTGCATGGTGAGACAGGGTTGGCTGGACACGGTTTTTGTGAAGGTTGTGCCATTTTCCACAGCGTAGCTGCTCAAGGGCTTGGCCCAGCGCATAGCAGAACACAACAAGAATCCACAGCCCCGACCCCGCCAGAAGCACAGGAGGTTGTTTGTTTGGGAGTGATCCTTGAGACTTGGACTGCCCGTGTCCCCGCCCACCAATGACGACGGCAAATGCGATCGCGCAAGCCGTGGTGGCGATGTCAGAAACACGCGAAGAGGTAGTGCGCCGACAGACCCTCACCTGCTCGAGTGGACGCAAGAAACCTATCAGTATCACCTTATTGCTAAGTATTGCTTCTACGGTGACTATTTGGCATATGTTCATGATTTCTGTTGCTACCAATGGTACTCTTGTTGCCGGTCTTGCTGGTCTAGCTTACGCACAAAGCCAATTCTGTCATGGTAGCAACTAGTATGTTGATTCGATTCTCGCTGTTCTTGGTGCTCCGGTATTGTTCTTACACAATTCTTGCTCTCGTTACTCTTGTTACAAGTCTTGTGGTTAGTAAGGGACTACGACTAGACCTGCTGAATGCAAGACATATCCCCGCTTCTGCCTGCTTCTTTCTGTGTGGCAAGCAGGCTTCTGCACTGCATCCCAGGATCCAGTCGGAGTATGTTGACTACTATCTCGAGATCCAAGCGACCTTCGGCGGTGGGGAGCGATACTACACCGTGGAACCGAAGAACCTGGACAAGACTCAGCAAACTGTGTCACCATGCTTCGAAACAACTCTGGCACTCTCCCTGCCCAACCCACGAGTCGAAGCTGATCCCAGTGGGTCAGTCTTTGGCCCGTCCCCCCTTCCCCACGTCAAAGCACAAAGGATCGATGATGGGCACATCGTTGCCCAGACTGCCAATGGATACGAGGCTCCCGGCGCCAAGGGGTGCTGCAGAAAGCTGCAGACAAAGCACGACATACCATTGTCTGGCATGTAAATGCGTCTCTGTGACCGGTACAGTGCTTGCTTGGTCGCATGGGTGCATGGATACACCCTGACAGCAAGAATGCAAGAAGGTGATTGGTGCAGCCCTTACGAATTTGCGATTCCTAGGCCAATTAAGCAGCTTAAAGCAGAAAATCCACAAACCCCTGAATCCTGGATGCCACATCATGTCATATAGCAAGCCACCGCCGACATAGTTTGGCGAGGTGAAGACGCTGCATGACATGGGCCTGGCCTCTGACTTCCACTCTGGGATGCAGCTGGTCAATCGTCTGAGGCCTCGCGTGGCGGTTGTGACGGTTTTGCTGTCGCTTTACGAGCTCTCGAATACGTTCCCAAAAATGAGTTTATGAGTAGGACCTGTGTTCCCAGCTTCCTTCCCCCCGGCCCCGATTTTCTAGACTCGAAACCTGCAGAGTTGCTCTTTCCTTGAGGCGGCATGGCTTCAATCTCGTCGGGAACAAGCCAGAGGTGGGCCTAGGGAAGCTCTCAAAGCGCTTCTCTCATCAAGCCGGGACAAGATTTTGAGATCGTCAGCGGCTGGCACGGACATGCCCCGCTAGGTTATGATTCGTCACGTCATTGCAATTTTCATGGACTGTGCTTCAACTGCATGCGGCAGTTTGTTGTGGAGGACTTGGTCCCCATAAACAACACACACCCTTCCTCCAGCAGAAGCTGGGAGACGTTCTTCGTGTTCAGCATGAAGGCGACTCTGCCCTTGCGATTTTGAGGGATATTGGTCGGTCATGTTTGAGTTTGCTGGAGGTTGGGGACGCTTCCCTCTGCAAGCCAAAGAAGGCATGTGAAATCCAGTTTGTGCACGAAGGCCATTCTGTAATGAGGCGGACTGTCCCTGAAACCAAGCTTCAACCTTCAAACCAGACCCGAAACAGAAGAATCACATTCGCCACTCAAACAACTGCCACGTCCCAGAGTTTGAGAAGCCCATTGACTTCAGCAAGCCTGCGGCCTCACAGGTACCTCTGAGCTTCCTTCGTGAGCACCCGGAGGTGGCGTAAGGACACGCGCGTGCTGCAAGTGGACAACAGCTAGTCGGTGCCTAACGACTTACATACAGGAGGATATGAAGTAACGACGTGTGTTCGCAGATTCGCATACAGTAAAGAAATGTAGAGTTATGTTGTCAGGAGTGATAGATAGAGCGTAGCAGCATAAGAGAAAACGGCAACAGCAGCAGCAAGGTGATTCAGATCATGGTTAAAGTCGGTTAAAGTTGCTTTAACCGTAGTTTGACACTGAAGACGATGATAATGACGATCAGCATGCCAAAGACTCATGGTAGCAATTTGATGGCGATAATTTTAATTTCACTGCTCTGGTTTTAACGGTGATTGCAATGATGCTGCGATGAGTCTTGGTAGTGGTGATAGCGGTGCTGCTTTGGATCATGCTGTGGTGATGGTTATGCTGGTGACCATGATCACGACGACTTTCTTGAGATGTTGGCTGCAATGGCACAGGAGAGCTGCACGAGAGCATTGATTTCAGCCAGTGTGATGGCAAGTCTTGCATTGCATGAGTGATGGGCCACAAGAGCCCCAGACTATGGTCCTGGTGGCTGCTTAATGTATGGCCGTGAGTCCTGGCTATGCCGACACAGGATACGATGTCCCTACCTGGAACACTGCATTGAGGACTCTGGAATCTGAAATCCTGGCTCAGAGCACGGCTTCTGCATCAGGTTACCTGTAGTCCGTTGGCTTCAAGCCAACTAGTCTCGGGGGTTCGATGCAGCCGACCCTGCTGGCTCCTGCTCCACCGAGAAAAGGAGAAATCCTGCTGAGTCCTCGACCTCTGGCCGTGTCCATGTCTCCCAAAGACACCCCATGGCAGCCACAGAGCACCTTGCTAGCCAAAAGCAATGCCCCAAGGTTGAGGATCCTGTGAACCCGACGAACAACGTTGGGCTCGGGGGCCGAGTTGCGAGGGCTGAGCACTGGCAGGCGTGCACGTACAAGAAGTTCTCTCTTAAAGCCGTCGTTGGCTTTGCTGAGCACCGGCAGGTTTTTGCTCCCTTTGGCTTTGGCTTTTGTTTGCTTTTCTATGGGCTTGGAGGCGAAACTGCTTCCGCATCCGCCAGATTCAGCGGTCGCTAGCGCGGGCCGCAGACGTTGTTGCTGCAAACGAGGCCGGCGGTCGACACGCCCGATGGATCCCCGATCGGAGAACTTGTGGTTGAACCGTACAGGATCAGTCCGTAGTCCCGTCATTGGGGCTCGCTCATTTGTGACCGCGTGGCTGCGGGCAGAATCGAAAAATTCGCTCTCCCCGAGAGGCTGGTGCGACTCTCCGGGCCATTCTGAGGGTGACCGTGGCGCGTTTGCCTTGTACAAGGGTGCCATCTCGCCATCCCACTTCTCCTGAGCGTGAGCCCATGAGTGAGTTCGTGAGAGAGGGGTAGCGAGTGTTGTTCAGACATCGGAATGGCAGTGTTTGTTGCGACTGTTGCTGTTTCTGTCTGGTTGTACGGGACAATGATGCCAGAATCGTTGCAGGTATTGCTGGTAAATACCCTACCTATTGACTTGTCATCGCATTTTCTTTTCCATGTCGAGTGATCTTGTTGCTGATGTTCGTCTCACTGTTGTTGTTTCTGCTGGACATTTTTCTGGACTTTGTCGCCGTCACTACCAGCACCACCAGTACCACCAGTACCACCAGTACCACCTGTACCACCAGTACCACCAGTACCACCAGTACCACCGGTACCACCCAGCACCACCCAGCACCACCCAGCACCACCCAGCACCACCCAGCACCACCCAGCACCGCCAGCACCACCACACCATCACCATTCACCAACGCCCTCGTCATCCCCCCGCAGCATCATCATTGTCATCGTCATCCTCATGCTCATCCTCTTCATCATCATCGTCCCACGAGCATTCGTAACTTCGTGTGGGTTCTCTAGGTTCTTCGAGGCCCAACACTCTGTCGATGACCGTTTCCACTGGTTTACAGCATCCATTCGAAGGCCCTTCATTTCTTTGTTGAGCATCCTTAGAGAGAGCTGAGAGCTGCAAGTTCAGTGCAGGCCACATTCTCGCAAGAAATCGCCAGGTCGAAACGTACGGCGCCGGAGATGGCCAGGAGGCTGCGCTTCAGGTTTAGGGCCTTGGGGGGTGCACTCCGGGCTTCAAAGCTTCAGGGGTTGTATGGGTTTCGAATTCAGGCTTTGAAGCTCTGTGCAAGGGTTGAGGTTGCGGGGTTCCGAAGAAGTGATTCTGAACGCTTTCAACTCCATCCAAAAAGCCAGGTTTCGTTGCTGAGGGGGGGACATCATTGAGAAGGGGAAGCTTTATGGTAGCGGGTAGTCGTTCCGAAGTCCGGCTACCCAACATCTTTGTCCCAAACAACACCTACTGTAACCCTCAGCCCTGGTTTTCCCATCCTCGGAGGCAGAGAGAGTGTAGGGAAAAAGAGCCGAAGGCCCCCCGTGAGTCAGAGGCGAAGAGAAGCACTGAAGCTGTAGCGCTGTGCATCTTTGGAGATGAATGACCAAGGCCCTGTCTACAAAATTCTGGGCAACCCGAACCCCAGACCTTCAGCCAAAAGCCGGAGCAGATGCAGGCAGAGGCAGAGGCCTTGTCCATGCGTGCCAAGCATGACCTCCAGGAGGATCCCAGGGGCGGCTTGCATGGGGCATGGGTTGTAGGCAAGGTCAGTTTGCAGCTACGCGTAGCAGGTGAAGTTAAGGTTAATTAAGTGTTTTAAGTTCAGGGAGAAAATGCCCTCAGGCCACCCTCGTCTGCCATGCAGAGCTTGTCTAAGCTTGACAAAGGCACTTCACGACAAGCTTCGTTTGGCCCCAGCCAGACCGCAACTTAGATGGCCCCGGACATGAGAAAGACTGCCGACCAGAAGCATCTGCCCCATGAACAGCTTTGGTTACTTGCAAGCTAGCCAGACCTGGTGTGGCTTCACTGTTTCCGTCCGTTATGCGCACTCTTAGAAAGCTTCCCCTGCCCCTAGATCCCCTTAGAACAGCACTCCAACCCCTGCAGTCCTCGCCCTACCAAGCAGACCGAAGACCCCCCAAACTCGAAGACAGCCCTCGACTCTCCCTACGAACAGCTCCGAGCCATGCCGCAACGCACCTTGTTGGGCCTGCGGCTTAGTGCTGAAGTCCACCCGACACGCTCCAGTGCTCGTCTTGAAGGCTTCGTGCCTCCAGCTGGGGTGGAAAGCAGAAGAAGAAAAACACAACACGAGCTCTGGCGATGTTTCACTTCTCAGGCTTGGGGCTCTTGGCCTACCTGCACCTCGGCTGTTTGTTGCACCGGGGAGCGCCGATCGAAGCTGTGTTTCGAGGTTTCAGAAATCAGGAAAAAGGATGATTCTATGCGAACTCATGCAATCAGAGTGCATGCTACGATTCAGAAAACTTACCCTCCAAGGGGAGCAGGAGCGTGGGTTTCAGGTTTAGGTCCCTCGAGACCCGGAGCATCGGCATAGCACCGGCGTCCATGTTGTTGAGGTTTAGAACAACTTTAAGTGGGATTCCACTACAGGGCCTGCAGCCAGAGCTTTTTAGATGGCTGCACTCGCATCTGCCTCGCAGTTCTGCAACAGCGCCGCTCGTGCCGCTGCCGCCAGCAGAGCCGAACCCTCCAAGCTGGCCAAGTTCGGTGCGGTGGCCCAGCAGGGAGAGAATGCAATAAAACCCAGCGGCACAGCAAATCCCAAAACAGCGAAAAGGTGACAGATTCTGCATTGCTGTGCTCCCCAACATAGGGAGCAGATGAGACTTGTCCGAGGTCTACATCTTCGGCCCTGAGGCGTGAGCTCACGGTTCTGCTCTTCTGGTTTTAGGGCCTTTTTGGGGGTTTTGGGCTCGTTGATGCTCGTTGGGATGTATGGCTCCGGACGCCGGGCGATAGGAATGGACTACAGTGTCTGGCCTTCAGTAGACGACTTCAGTTTCAGCTCTTCGCGATCCTCATGCCGGTGAACAAGCGGTAACGACAGTCGATGACTCGAGATGATAGTTTAAGGCCTGGTCTCCAGGATGCAGTGAACGGGTCCGACCTGACTGCGCGCATCGCGGCTCTCTTGTCGGAGCTCAACAATGCCCCTGGGCTGTTTAGCTTAAAGGGTCTGTAGGTCGACTGTGAACCCTGAACCCAAAACTCTTAAGGCCCTCAAAAAAACCCTAAGACTTTGACAGTCGGAGGGAGTCGGAGGATATCGGAGGGAGTGGGGAGGCTCTAAGTCCAAGCTTGAATCGTGGTGTAAGGAGGCATTAAAGAATGGCAATAGTCGTGGTGGTGATCGTGGTGGTGAGCCAGCGTCGGAACCAGGTGACCACCGGCCACTACAGCTCCGATCGCAAGGCGCTGCTCTTCAAGCCTGGAACATACGCCACGTGCACCGCATATGCCAGTGTATAGGTAGTCCCTGCGGTCTCAAACTATTGCAGTTGCCACGATTCGTGTAAACTCAGTACAGGAATGCTGTAGCTGTCGATCCGGAGAGAAGCGAGCCTTGAGTGCTCCATCGTGGCCACCAAGGAAACAGATATCGAAGTGGGCTACTATGTCCAGGCACGGAGCAAGCCGGATACTGGCAGAGCTCTTTTGCTTTTGGGCGTTGTGGTAAGTCTGGACATGTCTGGACCGTAGCTCTGCTCTAAACCCAAGCGCCCTGCAAACTCGTGCGGACGAGGTTTGGGCTCTCGAAGAAGAGCGGCTTTTAAATCATGTGTCCGAGACCGGGGGTTCCCGAAGGAAGCTTAGCGTTCGCTTTTTGGAATTGAACGCCGGCTGCGGCCCCAGGCCACCGAAAGCGAACTCCGGACGCCTCATTGAAACCCAGATCTGCAAAATCTCATGAAATCTAGGTCAATACCGCTCGAAAAGAGGAAGTCTCACAGGCTATAAGGTTCCGGAGCATGCGCCCCATCAGTATATACTAGTATCAACTCTTACGAACTTCTTTCAGTCTTTCAGCTCTAAGATGCTGGTGCTGTCCAAAGTCCCTTCGCCCTTCGTTTATATTATAGTATATCATAGCATACTATAGTATATCATAGTATATTATAGTATATCATAGTATACTATAGTATACTCTAGTTTAGTATGACCTCCGCAGCTGCACGGAAGGTTCTCGGCCTCGGCGAGCGGCCGGAGGACGGCCTCGAGATCAGACCTTCGATTCTTCCTTGGCTTCCTTGGGAAGTGATGGATAACAGCTCTTGGTGAGCGGTCTCAGAGGTGTCTGGGAGTCAGTGCTTGGACTCTCTTTCGCGAAACCGTTCCGCGTCTTCTGCCACATGCTCATGCGGACATGTTGTTCTCGAAACAAGGCGGGTGTGTAAGCCACCAAGATGATTCAGCGACGGCTTTCAAAATCCTGCGCTTCGAAACTATAGCCGAGAATGAGAAAACTCGAGAGGACGTGCAGTTCACCAGCGCGTCAGGTCCTTGGTGCATCGCAGCCATCTGGGCAAAGTCTAGACCGATAGATTTGCAGGATGCACCCTCAACGCCCAAATAGGTATCAGTCCGAGGTGTTTTCGCGAGGGTCGCGTCGGGTGATGACGCTCCACTAAACGGGCAAACTGAAACTAACATCCTGAGACCTTCTGATACTGTCGCTGATTCATTCTTGCTTGCGAGTTATTCAGGTGGGGTGTCCACTCCAAGCCAATGGGCGCCATCCCGGATCCAGGATCGCTGGACAATTTCTGGACGGATGGCAGCACAAAGCTTGTAACAATTGCCTCGAGGGCAGAATCTTTGGGATACACAACCCCCTCTGTGTGTAGTTGTTACCGATTCCAGCTGCCTCACGCTCCTTTCCACCCGCTTGCCCCTTTGCTTGCCGCGTATGTCGATGGCTCGGAGAGAAAGCAACTTCTGCATATCCGAGGCGTAGCGCAGAGAATTTCCACCATGCCTCTCCCTGGGGCATGCGCCTGGGCTGCTTTGGGTTTTTTCTCAATGTCTACAGTAGCCACTTGCACAGAGCAGGTAAGCAAGTTCGAAACGGCCATGTGATGGCCAACTGGTTGCTCTGCTTCCGGCACCGCAATTGAGGGTCAGCTTCGGCATTGCTTTGTTCCAGGCTCTGGGCCGTCTCACAAGCATCGCCTATCCGACGAATTCGCGTCGACAAGCTGCTTGGCCAGAGTGTAAAGACGACATCTGCCGGGTCTTTTCTTGCGGCGGAGAACTGAACATATCCAACCCTATGCCAGCAGTCTGATCAGTGTCTCTATGCCTGCAAAACCCTGCTTTCAAAGCAAGCCGAGATACCGAGTAACACACCAGTGATGCCGCAAACAAGTGGCTGGGAGCAAAGGGTGGAAGCACGGACTGGCCTCCACAGGTCGGAGAACAGTAGAAGACCAAGGGCTCCCACAAGAAAATCGGTCATAGCCGAACCATGCTCAGGCATCACCGAAAGTAGGAAGCCCTTTGCAAAACAGCAGCCTGAAAACATGGGACGCAGAGTACCCAATCTCTTCTACAAAAGACCTGTAAACAGAGCTGCATTGCAGAGAAGTACGTGTGCGACAGGGGGTTCCGTGACACCGAGTTGCTTCAGGAACCTTACTCTCTCCGTGCCCGGTGCCTGGGCCAGCGGAGGCCGTGGGAGTTCAGAAGTGGGGCTTCAAATGCAGACACCGTAGACTGTGAAACTGTGGAGTGGTTTGCAACTTCACGCATCTAAATGGCTCGGCTTTCCTGCAGATGCCCAGCCTGTGCTGCAAGTCCGAGACTTCACCCTCGATTCGCAAAGAGTTGGAGTTCTTCATGCTACTACTTGTGACCGTGTGAGGGTTCAAGATGTCGGCCACTGATGCTGTTTCAAGCCTCGTGCAGGATACATGGCCGACATGCAGGTGGGCCGCGTGCAACTTATGGCACCAGGTCGTTCAAGAACACTAACTGACAAACTTTTGCAGCCCTCAAGAAGTGCAGTTTGACCCACCTGTCCGACTCACAGTCAGCAGTGTAGATTCTCATGCCTTCAGGTGGGCGGCTCGACCGTACTGGGCGGCCAGCAGCTTCGTCCAATCCATGGTGCAGTCGTTCTGCTTTGCGAGGGCTGGATTCTCGTGTAGGCTCTCCAACAAGAAAAAGGCTAGCAGAAGAGGAACGGTTGAGCAACGGATCCATCTGTTCACGATCTACAGCTCTCGGTTGGAGAAAGACTTTGGTTTTGCAATGATGGCGACCAGGCAGCAGTGGATTGTCCGAAACTCCAACATCTCCACGACGGATGCTGCTGTATTGGGTGGCCAGTGGAATGTTGTGCTTGTGGGATGCACAGGCTTCTTGGTTGCCACTTTGCGTCGGTATTCTGCCGAGAGGACGTAGCTCCGAACCTTTCCATTGCCATTCCCTTCGCTACTGCCACCTCCCTAGGCAAAGAGGTTCGAGTTCGAAAGCCAGACACAGTTACGACAGGTCCTGTGCCAAAGTGGCTTTGTGTGGGCTAGCAGCGAGGTTTCTGCATCAGCTTTGGAAAGACAAGACGCCCTTGCGCTGCTTCGGGATAGGCTTCGAAACTTCTGACTCCGATCAGAGTACAGAGACATACAGGGATTCATGTGCTTGAGTCATGGATGGATTACGGACGGATTGTTTGCATTGTCCATGCCTAGATTCGGC